CTTTCGGCTGAAAATTAGTTATGAGATGGAACATAAATGGTATAAAATTTTAGGAGATAATAATTAATTTTACCCTAGAGAAAAAAATGTATAATAAAATTGAACATATAGAATATTTGTTAGTAATAAAGTTTCTATATTTGATTAAATTATTAAATTATAAATACAAAATTATATGATATAAATATAAGTAAGTGTGAGGAATAAATCCTAGTGTTTGGTCAGCAAGACAGCGAGGAGGTGGCGGAGGTCCTCCTCCCCCTCCCTCCCCCTGATGACAACAATTAATTTGAATAATAATCTTACTGCTTTTTGTGCTGATAATTTGGTTATTGGTGAAAGGAGGGAAACAAAAAAATAAAAAAAAGCCCAAAAAGAGAAGGCGAAGAAAAACCTAATATCTTGTCCCGATAAATAAATCTACTTTTGGCTAATTATTAACAGAGTTAGGTCGCAAAAAAAACCTCCTTTTGTGGTCTAGAGGGTTGTCTAATAATTGAGTTCTTCAATTGAATTATTAGTTAAGATACGAAACGGAGTATTAGCGACAAATTTTTATAATTTTACTAAAAATTAGTCATATGATAGAAAAATGCGATATTTGCGATAAGGAAATGGGAGTTAATGGTCAAAAATACTGCACGGTTAGTTGAAGAAGAAATTGGGAAAAACTTTTTGGTCGTCGAGGGAAAGAATTGCCTTTAAAAGGGGAAATATGCCTATGCCAGGAGCATAACAGAGAATATGAAAATGATTGTCATGGTAAAGAGGAGGAGGCACAACAAAAGAGAGATTACGAAAGAATATTTGGAACCCAAGAGCCAACCATTTCTCAATTGCGAAATTATTACTTGAAAGAGGAAAATATTTTTGGAAAAAGCGATGATGAAAAACCATGAAGGACAATTACTTCGCAGTGGAAATCTACCTTTCAATCTATCCTTCAAGACCCTTCACTTGATAGTGAGGATGCCCTAAAAAGTGCAGTTTATTAAATTAGTTATGGCAGTTTACCAGAAAAGGCTAATTTGAACGATAAAGAACTAGCAAAAAAAATTAAAACTGATTCTTATTTTTGCGAGAAGTTAACCAAGTTTCATAATTCTCCACCTGATAGTGCAGCGGGTAAAGTATGGCAAGTATTCATTAAGCATGGCATTCCGCTTGATAAATATTACAATTATATAGAGAATAATCAGGAGAAAAAACGACAGCAAAGTGAATTTTCTAAGCAAAGAATAATCAACAATTTCCAAGATTGAGGAATAGAAGTTTACCAAAAGGAGGGAAAGAAATCAACATTCGACCGGATTATTAACCAAAAAAATAAATTTGATTATCTCGAAAAAAAAGAAGTGGAGGAAAAAGATTGACAAGAAATAATAAAATTACTGCGTGGAAAGGAATTGCGACAGGAGGATTGCCGCTGACCGACCGCGGAGGAATACCAAAAATGAGTGATAGAAATTAATCCGGAAACTCGACAACCATGGGACCCGCCATTAACCGAACAGCAAAGAAAAATTATTCAGGACCCGATTTTAACCAGTCCAGGAACTCGTCCTTTTCATCCCCCAAAAAGGGAAGATTTAGAAAACCCGCATTATTCTGTCCCAGACATTACCGTGGATACAATTAGCAAAGTTTTAGAGTGCTTTTCCTATCTCCAAAAGGCTCAGGAACAAATTGAGGAATGTTTGACTAAAAATTCTTTTTGAGGTGCCCCCGCCGAATATTATACTATTCAGGGATTAGAAAAAATACAAAAGGCCCCGGCGGACACTGATTTAGGCAAAGTTCGACAAGCATTAGAAAATAATGGATTTCCCCTCACCAATGAAATAACTAAACTAAATAATAAAATGAAAAGCAAAAGTGG